CTCTCTCTCTCTCTCTCTCTCTCTCTCTCTCTCTCTCTCTCTCTCTCTCTCTCTCTCTCTCTCTCTCTCTCTCTCTCTCTCTCTCTTCGTGGCTTCGGACTCGCATTTTCATGTACGTTTCCCAGCTCAGCCAGTTGTCCCCTTGTCCACTTTTCCATCAGACAATCCGCTGCTCTCACTTGGGTTACTGGATGTGGGTTGCCGGCATCATGTTTGTCTCCAGTTGATGATTCGTTCCTCCAAGAAGCGTCGTCTTGTTATCCTTTTGTTGGTGGCTTCTTGTCCCTCCCTTGCTCTCCTCCTGACCAATGGCCCTCAATAGGCCAAAAACATGTTGGTGGTTGATGTCTTAAACGGAGCTATTTTCTGATGGGGGCTCATTGCCAGGGTATGCTATGGGGATTTGTCTTGGATTTGGATTGCCAGGACCTCAGTGTTCAAGTTTCCTACCCCTTTCTCTTGCATTATCTATTTCCAGGCAAGCTTATGAATGAAGTCGTCTTTTGCAGGATTCGCGGACCAATGGTACACGCTCCAGCTGCCCGTCGTAGCCTTCTGCTTGAGCAGTTGAGAGGTGTGGATGGGTGGGGGGTGGGAATGGTGGGGGGAAACAAAATCATGGACATCACTAATGCATTGAGGACAGAGACCCTTCATATTCGAATTAGCGCAAAAGTGCCACCCCACTTGTGTTCGGGGATTACCGTCGAATAAATTTGGAGGAATATAAGCACGACTCAAAAGTCCTGTGGGTGCCAACACTTGTGACAAATTTGGCAGCGGTTCAGTTGACAGCGGTTCACCACCCCACTTGGGGTTGGGATTACCGTCTGAAGAGATAAATGAAGGAAACACAAGTATTTTTGGAGGTGAAGCTCCTCTAAGTGCACCCCACTTAGGCTGTGCACTAAGTCATCCAAAAAATGAGAAAAAGAAGAAAGAAAAGAAAAGGGGAAAAGGAAACTCCCCACCGATAGATGGAGCCTCCCCGAGTGTGTTAGTGGTGTCTGCTCTTATCAGCAACACCTCGGGCTGCTTACCAAAAAAAAAAAAAAAAAAAAAAAAAAAAGGCTGTGCAGTAAATTATATTTAATTTGAACGTCTTGATCGGAATTCCTGTTTTTTTCTAACTTATTTGGTCTTTGTCAGGAGTAGTGATGAGCTTCTCATGCTGACCAAAGGGTACTCTGTCCGTCTCACTTTGTGCTCTGTCTTGAACTTCTCTGTGAGTGTACAGGCACAAGCCACATCACCATATCCTTCCTCCTTTCACTTCAGCAAAGCAGATGAAGGAATCCCGGCCCCTCGTCATTACGGAGTCAAAGGTATCGCTTTCGGCTTTCTCTGACTCTCTGTGTGGGTTCTCGAGGGTCGTAACGTTCCCAACGGAAGAGTTCATTGTCCTCACTCTCTACCTGGTCGACCTGCCTTCCTTTGAAGCAGTGGGAACAATTTCCGGCATGATGCATTTGCAATAGACCCAAGATACACCGGTAGTGAGTCATGGGCATACATGTGCCTGCCCGCCTGCCTGCCAGCCAGCTCGTGCCAAGCCTGACCAAGGCCAGATCAGACTCTAAAAACTTTGAAGGACACAGAATGCAAGAGAGCTGAATAATAGCATGAAGAGGAATGAACTCCGCTTTTTTGGCGACCAAAATATTATATTATTATATTATTGCGTGATTGTCACCGGCAACGTCCCCAGAGAATCATCATCCTGGAGAACCTGAAGGGCAAATTTGGCACTGAATCTGACTTTCATGTGCCTTCTTCTTTCTTCTTCTTTGTTATGCTTGGCAAGTAATAATGATGGACTGAACGGAACTGGACCTTGCCCTCTTTTTTTTTCTCTTTTTTCCCCCCCCAGCCCCTGTACCCGAGCGAGACGAACGATTTGCATGTCAGTATCGCTGCGAGCCTCCACCAGCGTTTCCGCTGGCCTTGCTGGAACTGAACATTACCCTCTTGTCAACCAACCAAACTATTGTTAGATTATGAAGTGCAGGAGTGACCACCTCCACTCCACTCAGAATCAACTGCATGGAGAACCTGAGTTCTTTTTATTCAACATTGGCTATTAGAAAATGGAATCTTTCAATGATTTTTTTCACTTGAATAAATTAATAAGCATCTTGCGATTCAGAAAACTTAGGCGTTATATAGTCTTTACGCATAGGCCAACCAAGCCAACTTTCAGGCATTAAAATACGTTTTAAAGAAGGGCAGTGGGAGGAGAATTGTATCTTTGACCGCGTGCCTGTTGAAGAATGAGCCGGCGACTCATAGGCAGTGGCTTGGTTAAGGGAAATTATCCATTGGAGCCATAGCGAAAGCAAGTCTTTTTAGGGCTATTGCCACTGTCTATGGACCCGAACCCGGGTGATCTAACCATGGCCAGTGTACTAAAATATGAAAATAGAATAGAAACATAAACTCCGAGAATTCTATATTCGATTATGCTATAAATACTATAATGTTAGGAAATTTACATATGTCCTATCAATAATTCATACTTAATACTGAATGTGAACCATAGATTGATTTTCTATCAAAATGTGTTAGATATACTTRAAATCCAAGTTTCATATATCTTAGAATGAAGACATATGTTATTGTTTTTAATTTTTCGTTTTTTAAATATATATTTTTATATTACCTAATTGTACTATCAAGTCACWCGCCAAAATAGAGTAATGTGCCAATCACAACGCCTAAATTTATTAAATTAGTTTCAAAAATATCTAAATTGATTCAAACTGTGATCCAACAGGCCATCTTGACATTGGATTTATGACATGAATTATTTCGCTCATAAGATAATGAATTCTATTGGTTTTTATGCATGGGTCCTGGAGACCATCTCACGCAAATGTGTACATGCCATGCATCGTTCTCCCACACACAATGAACAGTAGTCTGATAATAGACAAAGGTAGAGAAGATGAGAACCGAGTTTCACAGCTTATATTATCAAAAATATGAATACAAAATGTTTCAAAGTTTCCCTGAGTCCAGCGCTCATCAGCGCAACACCAATATCTTGCCAACTCATCAATATGCCTTCCAGTGAATCAGTGCTACCCCTGCAGATAGTCTCCAAGTCATCAATGTGGTCACCACTCATCAATGCCACCTCTGCAGATCACATCCAACTCAGGTAAGTATCTTCCATAGCCAACCTTGAATGAACACTCTCAGCCTCAATCCCTTCCTCTTATGAAGCATATACACTCTTCAATACTCAYRAGGATCTACTCTGGATACTACTCATAGCTACATACTAACCCTCTACTTCTAATGCCAACTCGCTGGGCAGCTATGGCCTGTCTCTTATACACATCTAGATGTGTATAAGAGACAGGCGCACAAGTGCACCAGCACTTCCACGCATTGGCAGCCAGTGGAGATCTGGCGAGGAATGAGGCTGGCTGCCTCTTTTATACTCCTCGCTGGGTCTGCATTGGCTCAATCCAGCCTTCCTTTTGTCCCAGACCCTGCATTGCATGTGTCCCAGTAGAGTCCCTGTCTCTTATACACATCTAGATGTGTATAAGAGACAGCCCCTAGACTTAGACCAGAACTGGGACTGTGCCTATTGACTTTTCTTTCGGACAGGCACAACTCTCAACGAACAGACACATTTACTGCTTGAACAGACACTTTACTTGGCACGAACAGACACACTGCCTGCACGTACAGACACACCCTTACCCAAACAGACATGACATACACATCTCCTGGTGAACAGGTAAGTCTTTTGACAATGCCCTTTGCCTTAGTTTTAAATATGCCTGTTGATAGAGAACTTGACCTTTGACCTGCTTTCACGTTTCTGAGCTCTGACGAGATACCTTTTCACAATGCTTTACTTTTACAAGGCCTGTGCTGCTTTATTTTTACAAGGCCTGAGGCCTATATCGGGTAAAGGCCCTTTTATTTATATGTAAATAGACCTAAATCTAACAAAATTTTTTGTTAGATTCAGATCTATTTATTTAAACAAAAGGGTTTGCAAATAATAATGCTAAAGCAACAACTAAACCATAAATAGTTAAAGCCTCCATAAAGGCCAAACTAAGTAACAAGGCACCTCAAATTTTTCCTTCTGCTTCTGGTTGTCTAGCAATCCTTCTACTGCTTGTCCAGCAGCAGTACCCTGACCTACTCCAGGTCCAATTGAAGATAAACCTACTGCTAATCCAGCAGCAATTACAGATGGAGCAGAAATCAAAGGATTCATAAAGATCTCCTCACTTAAGGGATTTAACAAACAATTATAATGGGTCCCTATTGTCCCTGAGAGTACTAACTAATTTGTTTTCTTGTAGTACTTTTCAAATTAATAACTCAAGATGTCTCTTTTATGTGATAGTAACACACACAATATCAATTTTATCGTTCATTAATTCTCATCAATATTGTTTCAATCAGTACTGTCCTTTTTTGAACTTTGTAGAAAATAGGAAAATTGGCACTGAACTGTAAGAACTTCAGGGAATGTCCCCGGCCCCACCTTATAAGCCTTGGAAGTTCATGTGTGCTCTTCCCGGTTATGCTTGTGCTTTGGAGGTAATTAATAATTAATAAATATCTTTCATTTCCATGGTGCCCCCATACCATACTTGGTTTGGAATTGTCATCAAACTTGGTCCACTGCATATTAACACAAGTGGTTAACGGGGGGACCCCCCATTTTCAGCCCCTGACTAACGGGCACAAAAGGTCCAAAACGGAAATATAGGGTTTGGGCCCTTGGGGGGTCAAATGTTTTGCGTTTTTTTTATTATTTTGGTATGATTTTTATTTTGGCTGTTTTTTTGTTTTAGATAGAGGTTACTATGTGGCTAATTTGGTGTCGTTTGGACCATTCAAAATTCATTTGTTGACATATCTGGAATTTGGGTTGGGCAAATTTCGACGAATTTTGCATGAAAGTGCACCTTTGCCTTGAAGTTTTTAACTGTTTTATGCTGTTTTTTGTTTTTGTTTTTTTCTTCTTGTTTTTCTTTTGCGGTTAGTAAGTATGGTGTACACTCTTATGTATCGGTGACATGTTTGATTAAAAAGGGCTTTGGGTTTTCTTATAAATTGCATGACAAATTTGGGCCTTGAGAATCACTGAGAAACTGTTGAGTGTGTTTCCAACGTTCCACCCCCATTCCTTGGGAATGAAATCCCTCTCTCCTGTGTGTGTGTGAAACTATAGAGGAGGTGGTCATTTTCATACAGCATTCAAACTGCATCAGGTCTTGCTCTTGGTTACAGGGGGGTATATGTCACTGAGAAGGGGTGGTCTTTTTTTTTTTTTTTTTTTTTTTTTTTTTTTTTTTTTTTTTTTTTTTTGAAACCAAACAAACATCCTCTTCTATTCTGGGGGCCCTTAGTCCGGTTGCTTATCCCCGGCAAGCATGTTTTAAATTGTTTTTACAACTGAAGAAAAGGGGGGAGGAACAGAGACGGGACGGACAATCAGCCCATCCCTTGTGGCACTAGTCACCTAGCAAGGGGGGGACTGCTTCGGGGCAGCCCTCCCCCCAAACCGTGACCTTTCCGAGGGTCGCCCTGCTCGCCGAGAGGCTTAAGGTTGTCCTTTTTATAAAGCCTTTCTAATTTCTAACTCTATCAGTTCTTGCTCTTGGTTACAGGGGATATATGTGGTTGACAGCAACAAGAAGAGATACATCGATGCTCTCGCCGGTTTGTGGTGCACATCTCTTGGTAAGCATGTTTTTTGGTTTCTGCTCCTGCAACCTCAGTCGAATGAATGCACTTGTTTAAACTTTAAAAGTTTAAAGTCGTTTTGTCAGTTAGTAGGGGTTTCACTTGGACCAATTGAATATGTTATTAATACTTATTATGTTTGCATGTCTGCGTGTTTTCCATTTTTTCAATATGCCTCTTGCTCTGTGCTGTTATGGAAGTGGGAATGTCTCCTTCATTCTTTTTTTCCCCTGGTTTCCGTGAGCGCGTGTGTTATCATGTTCACTTAACTTCACTATGCACAACTCCACAATAAAAAAAGCACGATTGTGCGGAACAGACTGTTTCGTCAGACTTTCACTGACTCATCATCAGGAGGTTGAAGAAACCTGATAGTCTCCTCGGGATGCATTCGAATGACCACATACGCTGGATAAGCGGACTCGCCACTTCACCCAGAGTTAGTGATGGCCAACTTTCGTCACACCAGTGACACCAACCACATAATCGCAGCGGACTGTGGGTCCAAACGCCTGACAAAAGTGGCAGTAATTCTGAGAAACTAGTCTGTCACAACCACTAGTCTGTCACAGCCATAAAACCCAGTCTACACCCCCGCTTGCGGCGCTTGGCTAGGGATATCCACCGGCATGACTGGTGGTGGCATGGGCGCAAGCCTAGCTACATCGATTTGTCGGCCCCCGATGTCTGTCGTCTTTCCTGATACAGGATGAGGGTGTTTCCCGACATTTGTTGTCTTATTACTCCTTTTTCTTCCTTTTGGGACTGCTTACTCTTTCTGGGAAAGGGTACTGTGATGCACAAAGTCAGACAAGAGAATATTCTTTGTGTTTTTAACTTTTTAGTAACTTTTTACCTTTCTTTTCTTTTCTTTTCTTTTAACCTTTCATAATCGACATTGTCCGACTTTGTGGTCAGTCCTGAGGTATTCCTAGAGTGTGCGCTGTTTATCCATACCTCCGTAAGTAATTTTGTCTGAACGGCTACATCGTGTATGTACTGTGTAGTTTTCAGGCAAAGGAAGAAAAACAGCAGCTTTCTTCTGGTCCCATGTTGTATTGCCGTGAGCCGTTTACTTGACTTTACTGCTTATTATTATGTTTTGAAATTCCGATGCATTTTTGTAATTAACCACTGGAATTTGCAGGTGGAAATGAACAAAGGCTAATCAAGGCAGCAGCTGATCAATTGGCCAAGCTTCCGTTCTACCATTCCTTTTGGAATCGTACTACAGAATGTGCAATGGTGAGATCAAGGAACCCCTCGCCCAGAAGTCTCTTGCATCCCGTCCTTTGTCCGCTACCTCCCTCCGATGTCAGCACCGGAATTTTTTTTTTTTTTTTATTTTCCCAGCACCCTCATCCCGGAGGTTGCATTGGTTAGTCACCCTGCTTTGTCAACTTCTTTTTTATGCGCAAAGTCCCAATTTTTTCGGCTCTTGAATGTGGATCCTTGCTCAAATGAACCGAGCTAATCAAGACTTCTGACACCGGGCATGCTGGTTTCTAGCGGCCGAACTCCCGTACGTAGTACGTACCATTGGCCTACCAACTTATTGTACGGCGTAGACCTATGACACCTGCTGGCCTACGGTCCTGCCGATTGGGACTTGGTACATGGGACACTGGGACTTGGAATCGGGACCAGAAGCCTGAGATGAGTGAAATCCTGTCACTTTGTCTTCATCAGTGATTTTAGCTTGGTGGAATTGTTGCTAAAATGCCTTTGATGACCAACCTTGCTCTCTTCGACGACAACACACCTCTGTATGGTAGAATACTGACTTCTCCTCGTTGTTACCCCGCAGGAGCTGGCCGCAGAGCTGCTGGATATGTTCACAGCGCGGAAGATGGGAAAGGTCTTCTTTACGAACAGTGGATCAGAGGCAAATGATACACAGGTGAGTCAACGCACCGGTGGCTGAAATATTGAACTGTCGCATTTCCGCGTTTTCCTGTTCGTAACTTTTAGTATGCGATACTATGCATATGAGAAAGAGAAGAGGTGGGCGGTATCAGTACACTCCTATGGGAACGGTGGGGATGTTGTGGGAGAGAAGAGGGGGGGGGGGGGGGGGGACTGTTTAAATGTCAGAGCAATCGTGGTCTTCCATTCCGTTTGGCAACTGAAGAGGTTAATTTTTTTTATACTGGCAAGACAGGTCGCATTGTGTTAAAGCCTTAAAGGTAGCGCCACTCTTCTGTATCACACATATCTGTCCATCGATAACAGATGGATGTTATGGGTAGGAAAAGTGGATCTGACGGGTACGAAACAGACCTAGCCAAGTTTGGCAAAGAAAGCATTAGAAAGTAGACAAAGCATCAGGAATGCCAGTAAGTCTGCGGTTTTTCTGGTCTGTTGGTGAGGAGCTGCAGCAGCTGGTGCTAAACGTGTCCTGTGCTCCTAGAATAAAATTAGCGACGCCAAAATTTGGGAACCGGGTCCATTGTCCCTTCACATAAAGAGAACAACCTCCTGCTTCCCTCCATTACAGCCGATGGATCACAATTGGAGGCATTGGTTGATCCCTGGAAGTGTGTTTCTTCGTTCTTCCTTTATGCAAGGCTTTTAGGCCTCAGCGGCCCAAAGTGAATGCCACCTAGCAAAATCCAGGCCATCCCTTAAGATAGAGGCCACAGCCTGAGACAAACTGGGCCCCGGTGCAGGCCGCCTAGGTAACTACGCGGTAAGCCCTCGTAGTTCCCGTGGCCATCGGATTTTTGTTTTGTGTGTCAGATTCAATACATGTACAAGTTCACCTTACTGAAATGTAATTGGCATAATCCGCAGGAAACCAACATATGTCTGTGTAGGATCCTCAGAACTATATGTGAAACAACTTCAGGCGTTTAGTATAGTCGCCTTGAAACAAGTTTTTGAAAATAGTCTTAATGGCACCTTATGTAATTTAAAATTTTAAAGGCAAATTTTCAAACATGCAAAATAGACTCCGTTTTCATTATGAAAATGTGTTACGTCAAGATTTGTTATTAAAACTTCATTGTATTATACAACAGCCTGGCGGCTGCCTCGATTATGTAAAATCAACTACGCGGTAGGCCCTCAGTGCAGGCCGCCTAGGTAACTATGGGGTAGGCCGTCAGTGCAGGCCCCGTAGGTAACTACAGGTAGGCCCTCGGTGCAGGCCGCCCAGGTAACTCTGGCGGAGTCAGGACCCAGACCGCGCAGTTACCTCTGCCAGGATCCAGGTCGGTAGGGGCCTGCCTGCCGGTAGGCCCAGAGCTCGAACTCGGAAGAGATAAAAGCAAGGAGGCCGAGGGCATACGCACATTGGGCAGGAAGTAGTACCAGGCGGCAGCACTGAGTGAGTGCGTGCTTGCAGCCAGTGCCGTGCAAGGAAGACGCAGCATTGAGGGGGCTGCCAGCTAGCGCTTGCCATAGTTGGTAGGCAAAACTGTCCAGGGGAGAAGGTGGCGGGTGGACGGAGCGGTCAGGGAAGGAGAGTGGCAGTGGGAACTGGCAGATACCTGGTGTGCGGCCGAGGAGCACCTATGTGATCAAACTCTTCAAGCAGCATCTGGCGAGAGGAGAATGGAAGTGTGAGAGGAAGTAATCTGGTGTGTGCAGGCTGTGTAGGAGAGTAGTGTAGGCAGACACATCAATGCTAGGGCGATTTCTCTGTTGTCGTATTGGTTGTTGAACCTGTTGGAGGTGCAAAGTGGGCTTTCCTTATCAAGATACTTGAGTGCTGATTGTGTACCCGGATGGGCATGCTCTGAGTTTTGTCATTCTGCTCTCAACGTGGCTTGCATCTCGAAATCCGTGTTCTCATATGCTGGCTCTTTGCATTTATTCTTTCTCTGCGAAAGTGCGCCACATATAATACCGGGTAGCCGTTCTTCCGAGGTCGGTCATGGGGTATAGTTTTACTCGGAGCGATGTGCGCCCTTGTTTGAAATGAATTCCTGTTTACAACTCTCTCTTTGTTTTCAGTAGGAAAAGAACAATCTTCATGGGTGCCTTTTTTTTTCGCTGCAATTCTCATCATAGCGGCTTGATCTGCCAAGTGGCCTGATTGTTGAAACTATTGTAATGCTTTCGGGAACTCGGTTGGGAACGGCGTTTGGTGCAGGTGAAACTCTTTTGGTACTATAACAACGCCCGTGGAAAGCCAGAGAAGAAGAAGATAATTGCTCGCAATAAGTCGTGAGTACCATTTTCAGTTTTGTGTTGCCGAGGAGGAGATGGTGGACGTGGAGACGAAGAAGATGTCATTCAGGAATCAGGAGTGCACTCGCTGACCTCATGAGTAAAGAGGCTGTCTCTTATACACATCTAGATGTGTATAAGAGACAGATTGTAATGCTTTCGGGAACTCGGTTGGGAACGGCGTTTGGTGCAGGTGAAACTCTTTTGGTACTATAACAACGCCCGTGGAAAGCCAGAGAAGAAGAAGATAATTGCTCGCAATAAGTCGTGAGTACCATTTTCAGTTTTGTGTTGCCGAGGAGGAGATGGTGGACGTGGAGACGAAGAAGATGTCATTCAGGAATCAGGAGTGCACTCGCTGACCTCATGAGTAAAGAGGTCACCGGGATGGTCAGGAATTGAGATGTTGGCCATGGGATTCCCAGAAACCCTTTGTTGCCAGGGGAGGGTGCAAAAGCTCTGGTGCGAGTCTGTTGAAGGAATTACCCTTTCTGATTGGGTTGTGGGAGGGGCAGGTGTCAAATTGGACAAACAAATGGGACAGAGTATGAATTTCTGGGTGTGTATGTGTGTGTGTTTGTCTGTGCGAGCGTGTTCATCTATCTTCACAAGAATCTCATGTGTGCTGTTTTCTCCACTCCTGAGTGTTGTCAGCTACACGTGCTTGGTTAATTGAACTGTACCCTACCGTCTTCACCCGAATAGAACGCCCGGTAATTATCATCGTATGTATACCAAAAGTTGGCCCAAATACAGCTATGATGACCAGGTGTTCTATTCGGGTGAAGACGGTCGCACACTATCATTGCCTGCTTCACTTGGGGCCGACAGGGCACATGGCATGGCAGGACAGGACTGGGTGTAGGTGGGATGCCGAGTCGTATTGCCGCTGGCCACAGGAATCTGATGACCGTATTCTGTTGTACAGCTTAAACCACCAGTCTATCCGAGCCTCTCTTTCCTGATGGGTATCTCTTGTACAGCTTAAACCACCAGTCTATCCAAGCCTCTCTTCCTGATGGCGACTGGCGCAGGCATAAATAGCTAGGATCTGCTGGCCTTTTCCATCCAGGTAGGCTGGATCCGTGATTTGGCACCAAGTTAACCTGCCACATTGGAACCAGGCACCTCAGAAACATACTGGTGGTTTAGGTCCACTGTTCTGTCTGTGTCTTAAAGTTGCACCAAGACTGGTTCGGTGCGCTCGGCACGGGGATGTGAGGCTTGATTCTCAGCTGCACAGACTCAACTTACTTGAGACATCAGGACTGAGGAGTATGTGTGTGTGTGTGTGTGTGTGTGTGTGTGTGTGTGTGTGTGTGTGTGTGTGTGTGTGAGAGAGAGAGAGAGAGAGAGAGAGAGAGAGAGA